ACAATACAACAGTATTCTGTTACGCTCATATACCACAGCTTGTTTGGGTATTCCCCAGTTGATGGGCATACCCTCAATTTCTAATCCTTTGCCACCACAAAAAGAGTTTTTGCTGTGCTGTTTATTCTAACCTTGAAATTTTCCAAAGGAAAAAGACCATAATTGCCTTTGTTGGTAATGCATTTGAAAGCATCACAACCTTTTTATTAGACTCCTCCCAGCCCCGTCATGTCTGGGAAAGAGGCCATGTCTATCCCAAGTCCCACCTGTTTCACTTTGTGTCCCCCCACTAGAACAGGAGATGATAAGCAAAAATGGAATGAGCTTGTATTTTGCTGCAAAAAATGATGAAATGGACAGTTTTAGGAAAAAAAAACTGAGAAGACTTAAGTGAATTGATGGAGCCTGAAGTGAGCAGAACCAGGAAAACAAATTATATAATAACAACCATGAAGGCAAACAGCTTTGAAAGACGGACTCTGACCAATGCAATAACTAAGCGCAATTGTGAATCAAATATACTACCTACCTCCTAATAGAGTGATGATGGACTCAACATGGAGAAGGAGACATATATTTGTGGAGGTGGCCAATTTGTTTCGCTTTTCTTTTTTTTTATGAGGGAGGTGGGAGGGAGAAAAATAGATTCTTGTTAATTAAAAAGAATTAAATGAATAAGTGGAATGGCTTTTCTTTGAAGTAGGAAACTTATCTTTAAAGTGTTCAATTTGCAGATAGATGATCATATTACCTCGGTATTGTAGTGTGACATCTTTCCTGCCCTCAGTGGAAACTGAGATATGCTATGCTATTACAGAAACCTTAGTCAACATTAAAAAACCATGTCAACTGAGGGCAGGCCGAAAGAGCTGGATGTGTTTAGCTTGGAGAAAAGAAGACATGGTTATGGGGGTGGGGATGATGGCAGTTTTCAGATGTTTGAAGGGATTTTGCATGGAAAAGAGATTAATTTTTTTTTCATTTGGTTTAGAGAATAGGACTGGGAGGGTGGGTGGAAGTTCTGGAGAGACAGACTTTAGCTTGGAAACTTCCAAAGGAAAAACTTCCCAAGAATTGGAGCTGCCCCTGATGGAATGGGATCCACTCCTAAGTTCTGAGCTTCCCATCACTTCAACTGTTGAGGAGGAAATCAGGTGGTCTTTTGTTAGGGATGCCATCCAGGTGATTCTAGCACCTATGGTGATCAACCAGATGATTTCCAGTGTGCCTGTCAGTTCTGACGTTTGATGATGCTGAGTTTCATTAAAAAGGAAAATGGTAACAACCTCCTACATTTCCCTGGTGCTTTAAGGTTTGCAAATTATGCCATCCTTTCTATGGTAACCTTCATTTTCTTCACATTTGTCTTGCAAGTTCTGATTTTTATATGCTGTCTCCTTGAGAGTACAGACTGTTTTTGTCTTTCTTTGTATCTCCAGTGCTTAGCACTGGGGATGGCTCATAGCAATTACTAAATGCTTATTCCATGATTGATTGATTTCATTTGTTATCATTATTATCCCCATTCTACTGATGAGGAAACTGAGACTGAAAGAGGTTAAATGACTTGTCCAAGGTCATAGAACTAAAAAGTGTCTGAGAGAAGGGTTTGAGTAGGAAGGTTATTCCTATTGTATATCTTGAGGATCTAGTTTACAAAGTGGGCAAGGCAGATCACAAGATGCCAGATTAATATTTGTCAACAAGTGAAATTTAGCACTGTATTGTTACCACAAGGCCAAGTTGTTTTCCTACTCCCATAGAATATGGGAATTGATTATCTATGTGTAATTCATACTCCTCATTGTTCAGTTGGTGAAACTGAGGCCAGAAAAGAGGGTGCCTTACCCAAGGTCACAGAGATAGTAAGCAGCAGAGCCTGATTTCTTAAATCTAAATCCAGCACTCTTGCCACTATGCCACAGCTGCTATTTCATTGGGTATTCTTCAACTAAACCATTCATCTGATACTTAAAGGTTAATACTTCATTTGGCTGAACTTGAAAACAAAAGTTGAATGAAGCCTGCTTTTTAACTTATAAGCTCCTGGGTGTGGATTTGGGGAGGTTTGAACTGGATGGCTAGGCAGGGAAGAAGGAGAGGAACCAGGAGTTGGTGGAGTTATTTTTGACCTATTGTTTGATGCTGGATGACGGCCACCCAGCGCTGATGCTTGTATCATCCCCAGCCAAGGACACCTGGCAGGGAAATTAACACTTTCCCAAGAGGCAGAGCTCACACCTGGGTTCCCAGTGATACTGAAAAGAGAATGGCTTTATTTACCAGTCTGTAAAATCAATCAGCTGTCTCAAGGAGCCCCCAGTGACTTCCTCCTCCTTGGTTCTCTTCCTCTTTCTCCTCCTCTTCCTCCTCCGATGCTTCTTCAGGGTGTGGAGGCGACCCTGTATTCTTGAAGGCTATTTCAGGGGAGTTCAAGCTGTGTCAATCTACCAAAGTGAAAAGACTCCAAGAACAGCCCTGGTCATGGAGGCTGAAGTATCGTGCATGATGTTATTTGGAGTCAGAGGAATTGGGTTCAAACCGCAGCTCTGCTCCAAATACCTGGGTAATGTTGGGAAAGTTACTTAATCTCACTAGGCCTCAGTTTCCTCTTTTGCAAAGAGAAGGGTTGGGACTAGATGGCCTCGTAGGACCCTTCCAGATCCAAATCCATGACCACCCTAGTTGTATTCAGAGAGTCTCATGGACAAAGGCTTGAACACTAGGCAATGATTTTTTTGGTTGTCTCAGCAGCTTATTAAAGCATCTGTAGCCAAAGGATGAAGGAGATATGATCTGGCTTGATGGAAGAAGCCCTCAACTGATGGATCCTTTGTCAGCAGCATGCTGTTGTGGAAAGATTGCAGCCTGTGGGAGCAGACCTGAGTTCAGATCCTTCCTGTGATAAAAATCTTCAGATTCTCTCAAGACACACAGTCAGATGTTATCTCCTACACAACCTTTCCAGATCCTCTTAGTCCTTAGTGTTTTCTCTTGTCTATCTTATATTTACTTATTTGTTGACATGTATTATTTGCCCTGCTAATTGGCACTCACTTTGTGTACAAAGGGTCACAGCTCAGGAGCTGGAATGGGCTTAGAAGTTGTCTAATCTAGCTCCCTTATTTTACAGATGAGAAAGCTGGGATCCATTGAAGTTAAATGACTTGCCCAGGGTCACATAGCTAGTAAGAATTTGAGATAGGATTTGAACACAGGCTTTTCTGAATCCAGATCCAGTGCTCTATCCTCTATGAACATGTCCCAAAGTGACACTATCGGTAAAGGGCAAGTCTAGGATTTGAACTCAGGTCCCTAGTGACTCCTTGAAGAGAGAGACTGCCTGATGTTTTAATCTTTGTATTCCCAGCTCCTACCAAAAGTCTTTAGACATAGTGGGCCCTTAATGAATGTTGTTGAATTACATTTGGTCGTAGAATATCAGAGCTGGAACAGGCCTTAGAGAACACCTAGTCTGAGCTCCACCTGAGCAGGAATGCCTTTTACAAGAGGCCCTGCTTGGCAACCTCCAGCGACGGGAGGGCTCACTACTGCCATATAGACAGTGACGTTTCACAATAGAGAATACTGGGGACATTGGACTTCCCAGTCACCGTCTCCAAACCATATCCTCTTCCCTTTCTCCCTGTCCCTTTCCAAGTCAGCTTTTCTCATTATGCTCCCTGCTTAGAACCTAAGCCCTCCGAAATTAGGGACTGGTCTGCCTTTGTCTTTTTATTTCCAATGCTGAGCACAGCACCTGACGCGTAGTAGTCATTTAATAAATGCCTTATTAGTCATTCATTCATCATTAAATAGAAGCGAGTATTTCAAGGACAACTAAAGAGGCTACTTTGGTTGCTCAGGTGCAAATGCTTTTTTCTTCTTCACATAAGGTGCTTCCTTTTCCTTTTACCTTTCTTTGTAGCCCTAAAACTTAGCACAGTGCCCAGACACGTAGTAAACCTTTAGCAAATGGTGCTGATTGATGGATTAATTGATTGAGGAAGCTTCTTTTGTCTCATACTTAACATGGACACATGTCATATATAAGGGGTACTTTGGTATAGTAGTTAGAACAATGCGCTTGGAGTCAGGGAGACTTGGATTCAACCCCCACCTTGGACTCAGTGACCCTGAGCAAGTCACTTAAGCTCAAATGCCCTAGGGGACTGTGTAAGACAATTCTGTTGCACAGAAGTTGTGGACCTGTGTTGGTAAGAGGAGGTTTCCTCTTTGGCACTTCACTACATGAACGTGCTCACAGGTCTGTGCCAAAGAAAAGCCACTTTAACTATAGAACATAGGCACTGTTAGTCATTTTATCCTTGTCTCCTTAACTCCTTGCCATGGAAATATATTATGAGTGGCCCAGGTACGATGGCACATTCTGGTGAACATTCATATTGTCTCTTGTCTTTATTCCCCAAATAAAGCCAGGGATAAGACTTCCCCAGCGTAGCTCAGCACATCAGGGTTAGAGTTAGCCCACCTAAGCGTGCCAGGGTCAAGGTTAGTCTACTCAAGTATGCCAGGGCTAGGGTTAGCTTGCCCAAGATGCCAGGGTCATGGTTAGCATGTGTGAGAGTTGACACACCTAAGCACACCAGGGTTGGAGATACACACTTAAGCCTGCCAGGGTTAGGGTTAGCGCCCCCTCAGCACACAGGCATGGCACGAGTACAGTTAAGCACATCTCATCATTCACAGCGCAGGAATTCACACATAGAAAGTACTTAGTGAATATTTGGTCAAATGTTCTGGATTTGTAGTCAGAGGTCTTAGGTCTAAGTTCCAGCTCCGCTGTTCACCACCAATATGCCCTAGGAAAGGTCACAACCATTCTGGTTAAGTGTCCCTTCCAGCTCTATACCTATGATGCTATGTCTTGATGAAATAAAAGTGTCAGGAACAGCCAAAATAGAGTCCATGATGAAAACCCAAGTACTCTACTCATAGGTCATTAACTGGGACTCACTTTACTCTTGTTTTATTCACAGTTCTTTTTTCCCCACACTCAAGCTTGGATATTCGCCTTCCCATCCCACAGCAGATAAAAGAAGCAGATCAGAAGTGGGAAGAGGGATCTCTTCATTGGAGATGGAGGTATGGGAAATACATTTCAGAAAAAAAATACATCTAAATCTTTTGGTTCTTTTCAATGAATTTAGGGTTGGAAGGAACCATAGGGACTTCTTAGTTTAACCCCTTTATTTTACAGATGAGGAAACCAGTGAACTCAGACCAGTGAAATGACTTACTTAAAGTCACATAACTAATAAGTAGCACAGCTGGGATTTAGGATTAGGTCTAGTAACTTTAAGTTACTAAGATTATGTCCATAAAATTGACCCTTGGTTCTCTATCTTTAAGGCAGCTAGATGATACAGTGGATAGAATGCCAGGCCCAGAGTCAGGAAAACTCATCTTCATTAGTTCAAATTTGGTCTTAGACACTAACTAGCAGTGTGATCTTGAACAAGTCATTTAACCCTGTTTACCTCGGTTTCCTTATCTATAAAATGAGTTGGAGAAGGAAATGGCAAACTCCTTCAGTATCCGTGCCAAGAAAATCCCAAATAGGGTCATGAAGAGTCAGACATGACTGAAAAAATGACTGAATGCACACACACTCTCTCCCTGTGTCCTTAATACCATCATATTATTGGCATAGTTTCCAAGGACAGGTTTAAGGCTACAAGGCCTCTGAGGTCGCTTCCAACTCCGAGATTCTGGGTTTCTGTGACTTTCCCAAGGAGTGCATAATGATTATGTGTTGGAACCCAGGTCTTCTGACTTCAAGAGCAAGGTTTTCCCTTATACCGGAAATGATCAATTAGCCCAAGAAATTGACAGTCTAAGATAGAAGCAAAGACGTGGACGTATAAACATAATACAAAGCAGAGTTGGAAGGTGATGACATTAACATTTACAAAGTATCTTAAAATTTAATCGCTTGAATACTCCTACCAGGGAACTCATATATATCAAATACTTAGCAAATACTAACCAATATTTGGCAAAGTGCCAAACATGATAGACGAGGCACAAAGGGCTATGGTATTTTAGGAGGCAAAGACTATTTCTGTGAGTTGCTGTTCAGTCATTTTTCAGTTGTGTCTGACTCTCTGTGACCCCATTTGGGGTTTTCTTGGCAAAGATACTGGAGTGGCTTGCTCATTTTACAGATGAGGAGGTTGAGGCAAACAGTTAAGTGACTTGCCCAGGGTCACCCAGCTAGCAAATGTCTGAGGCCAGATTTGAACTCAGGAAGATGACTCTTCCTCCTTCAAGCCTGGAACACCATTCCCCATGCCACTTACCTGCCCATTTCTGGGAGAGGTAGTAGCCAAAATAGAGAAAGCTCAGTGGTGTATACCATTTAAGTTGGACCTTGATGAATGGGTAAAAATTAGAAGGGCAGAGAGAAATAGCTTTAGTAAAGGAGAAAGAAGTGAGAAGCCTGTTAAGGGAGACCAAGGGCCACTTAAAATTCTGATTAGAAGCTAAATAAAAATGATTATAATGCTAACTAGTCACATTTCCATATACCTCTAAGATTTACTAGGCCTTATAGCAACTCTGTGAAGCTAATAGTGTAAAAATTATCTCCATCATTTTACATACAAGGCCACTAAGACTCAGAAGGGCTAATTGGTCCAAGATTACAGTTAGAAAATGTCAAAACCAAGATTCTGAAACCAGTGCTGCTGCTTCTGTGCCAAGAATGCATCGATGGGCCATTGGAGGAAAACACCTCTCTGGTTTCTGTATCTTTGCAATGGCTGTCTTACATCCTTGAATGCACTCCTTCTTTACCTCTACCTCCTAGGGTCCCTCTCTTCTTTGAGATACAACTTCAAACACCCCCTCCTACATGAAGCCTTTCCTGAGACTCCTACTGCTGCTATCCTCCCTTTCAAACCCCCTTATATTTAACTACTTTGCATATCATTGCATTTATTCACTTTCTATTTATGCTATGTAATTTATCATTTTATTTTTTAACATTCATTCTAAAATTTTGAGTTCTAAACTGTCTCCCTTCTTCCAATTCCTCCTGTGACCACTGAGAAGGCAAGCAATATGATACCCATTATACATTGAAGCCATTATGCTGTATGTTTTAAATGTGTTTATTGTTGCCCTCATTGGAATGCAAGGCTCTTCACGAACAGGGATTTTAAAAACGCTTTGTGCTTGTATCCTCAGTGTACAGCACCTGGCATGTAGTAAGTGCTTTTACACATAGTGATTGATTACTTTTGAACAAAACTTGATTGATTATGGACAAAACTTGGTGGTGGTGGGGAACCTTTGTAAACTCTAGTATTTCAAGGATTAACTTGCAGGAGCACTAAAATATTATTTCATAAGAATGTCTTGTCACTGAAAATTGTAACTCTTTTATAGGTCCACGCGGATACATTTGTATGCAACCTTGAAGAGTTGGGGTAGTTATTGGCTCTGGAACTGTCCACAGTGCTGAATAGTATTAAAGTGGTCTTTCTAACTATGTATACCAGAGAGAGAAGAAAACAGGTGAAGGAAGGGCACACTAGGGAGAGTAATATTCATATGAGTCCAATGTTTATCCATTTCACAAACATGCACAAATACCCCCCATCAAGTAAAGCTGAGGTAGCGCTGAATAGTGATGGTGTGGTGAAAAGAATACTTATTTGATGTGGTCAGAAGACTTGGGGTTTCAGCTTCAACACTTATTAGCTATGTGACCATAGGAAAATTGTTTCACCCCTCTAAGTCCAAGTGTCTCCATCAATAAAATGGGAGGAGGGGCAATAATACTAACACCACCTATGTCACAGAGCTTTTGTGGGGAAAACACTTTCTAATTCAAGGCTCAGCTCATGTGCCACATTCCACACAATGCCCTCAAATGCTGGTACTTTCCCAATAAGAAATTTCTTTATGGTTTCTCTTTCTCTCTGTTATATTACATATTTAAATATGTACATGGTGTCTCCCCTGATAGAATGTAGGCTCCTTGAGGGAAGAGACTGTTTCATTTCTTTTTGTCCCTTGTGTTCAGAACACTGGCACACAGTAGTGCTTAATAAATGCATGTTGATTTAATACATAATGTAAACTAGAAATGTGAAGTACTATCATTACCATGCTTATATCTGGAGAAACTATCCATACTGAGAATACTGCACATTTCTTTTGGACTGGACCTCTGATTTTCATCAGTGTAGAGAATTCTTAATGGGGAAATCTTATCAATGCAGATTAGAACCTGCTCTACAACTTAAAATTTTATAGTTGCCTCATATGCTGAGAGATTAATTGACTTGTCCAGAGTCATGCAGCCAGTTTTAATCACAGACAAGCCTTGAACCTTAGTGTTTCTAATTCTCAGGCCACCTCTCTATCTACTACTTCCTGTTTCCTCTCCCTGAATCCTTATAGAAATATCAGAAAAGAAATTCCAAATTATCTTATCTCAATTAAAATATAATTAAGCTATTTAATACAAACACCTACTTAAAAAACACATGGAAGCTCAGTTGACTCCTATTTACTCAAATAGGAGGAAGGGAAAGTATGGAGGTTTGTCTGGGAATACAGCAGGGAAGAGAGGGTAATTAATCATTTCCACAGAATTAATTACAAAGTAGGCTTTGTTATTGGTATTAAAAGTGGGAATAAATGATCTGGGGAGAAGCTAAAGATAAGGAAAAGTGAGAAGGAAATTAACTTAAAGAAAATCACCAATCAGCAGATTTACAGAGAGAAGAAAATGAAGTAGTCAAGATTAGTAGAGAAATCAGAGAAGTGAGGTCCAGTAGAAAGCAAGTAGAAAGTAAAATCCTTAAGAGATTTGTATGCAGACTTAATTGGGCTTATGGCAATGTAGATTGCCAACACTAAAAACAAAAGCTTCTCATAAGCAGCTGTGCGGGATTGGATCAAATCACAGACTCATATGATGTTAGGGTTGGGAAAGATCACTAAATATGGGATGCCAGAAATGGAATGAACCTTACAAGTTATCTGCCCCAGCCCTCTCATATCCCACTTCTGATGCCTGACTTGTTGTGTAACCATGGGAAAGACACAACCTTTTTGAGGCTCAGTTTCCTTCTCTGTAAAATGGGAATACACTTCAATTCAAACACATTTATAAAAATCATAATTCAGTAGTCTCCTTTGCTACTATGCTGGACCCTTACCAGCAGTTCCAGTCCCTTAACTTTTCTGGACTATTGTAATGGTCCCCCAATAAATGTCTCTGCCTCCAATCTCTCCTCTAATCCACATTCCATAGGGTTGCTTGAATAATCATATCGACACGCAATCATGTTCACACTGATCAAGTGTCACTGATCACGTCCCTTGCCTTGTGCAAAAGCATGGAGTGGTTCCTGACTGTCCACGGAATGAAACAAAAACTTTTTAGAAAAGGGCATTTAAGGACTTTGAAAATATGCTTACACTCTAACTTTTCCATTTTGTTTCAGAATTAGCCAGGTTAGTGTAATGGACAGAGAACTGGACCTGGAGTCAGGGTTTTTTTTTTTTTAATTTTTTTTTTTACCACCACAAAAAGCTTCTATAATCCTCCCCTTCTAAACCTCTCAACTTCTATTTTAGACACCATCATTTTTCCATTCTCCCAGGTGCATAACTTTGGCATTGTCTTCAATTCCTCAGTCTTCTTCACTTTGAATATCAAATCAGCTGCCAAATTTCCATTTCTACCATCACAATATCTTTTGGATCTGACCCCTTCTCCTTATTCACACAGCTGCCACTTAGTCTAGGCCCTTGTTGCCTCTCCCTTATATTACTAGAATAGCCTTTTGATTGGTTTTTCTTCCTCACTTTTCTCCTCACTTCATTTTCCACATTGCTGCCAAAGTGATTTTTCTTTTCAAGATTTGACCTTGTCATTTGTTTTCTCAATACCAGTTACCTTTTTTCCTTTATTCAATATTTTCTTTACTTAAAAAATTTTTTTTTAAATCTCCCCCTCCAGTCACATTAGAATCAAATATAAATTCCTCTGTTTAAGTGTTAAGGTCCTCAACAGCCCCTATTTTTCTGACCTTACTGTCATTGCAAATTATTCTTCCTCCTAAACTTAGTGACCCAGCAAAATTGTGCTCCTCACAATTGACACTCTCCTGTCTTGGTGCCTTTGCACTGTCTGTCTCACATGCCTAGGACACACTCTTTCTTCTGGAAAGAATCCCCCTCTTCCTTCAAGATTCAGCTCAAGCCTCACCTTCTATATGAAGCCTTTCACCATTCCCCAACGGGTAGTGGCTGGCCTCTTAAAGTACCTTGTATTTAACCACTTTGAATTTATTCTCTGTATATTATATATGTGTGTATGTGTGTGTATACACACAAGCACATGCCATGTCTCAAAAGCTTAGTGTGGTTTTAAGCTTGAATGGCTTAGAGACTTTTGGGATACCTGAAAATATGTCTTCTTGTTGCCTCTACTATTAGAATTTAAGGTCCTTGTGAGTTGGGATTGTTTCGTTCATCATGTTTGCATCCCTAGTGCTAAAAAGTATGTATTAATTAATTTATTGAATAAACCTCGGTTTACATTCCAGTCTTGACATTCACTACCTTTGTAATCTTGGACAAGTCACAACATCTCTTGGCTTCAGTTTCCTCATAAAAAGAAGAGTTTAAAGATTTCTAAAGTCCCATTTCACCTTTGAATCCCATGATCCACTGGGTCTCTTAGGATTGACCGATTTCTTAGACTATACTGGCATCCTACTTCTACCCCCTGATAGTTCCATTTAATAGTTGTTAATGTTAACAATTTCCTGTGCCTCGGGACCCATTTGATGTGCTGGGGGTAGGGGTGGAAGAGGGAGAGCAGTGAGCTGGCTCATCATATTCTGCTACTCCCCCCGGTGTCAAAGTCTCTGGCTCCATGCCAATCACAGTGCTTGTTTTAAAATGGAGCAGAATGCAGGCTTGCTGAGAGACATATCTTCCCACACAGTCTAAAAATTCAAATTTAAAAGGATGATCTCCATTTTGGGATATAAGGTTGATTAAAAGAGCAGCTGTCTGTCTTTTTGGGAGATACTTCTTTTCTTCATTGCTGACTGCTTTAGCTCCTGACAAACTGAGATTAATAATCTTCTACAACCCTTTGCGACTGGTGCGCTCTATCACCTGGATATCCACCATTCATTCTCTTGGATTAAAACATTGGTGACTAAAGATGATTAAAAAAATCCCTTCATTCCATGTTAACACTTATTCAAAGGGATTAGTCAATCAGATGAACCCATGTAATAAAATAATGCTTTTCATACCTTCTCTTTTTAGATCCTCTCCACATTCCAGTAAGATAGGTGATGGAGGAGTAATTGTCACCATTTTAAAGAACCAAGAACAGAAGCTCAGGGAAGAGATGGGACAAATCAGAAAGCTTCTTAGTGGTAGCACGGGAGCCAGAACCCAAGATTATAGATATTCCAAGGTTTCTGAATATAGAGTCATGCAGGGAAGCCCATCCTAGGTGACGCTACAGGAAGAAGGAAGGACTCAGCTTAGGGGATGAGAATAATGAGTTTATACTTCCATTTACAGGTATGTTTCACTTCCAAGTTCAAGGTCTTAGAATTATGATTGCTGATGGAGTCATGGGATCAAAGAACTTGAGAGCTAAAAGGGATTATAACATCCTCTCTATCTCCAATCCTCCCCAGCTTCCATCCTGCATCCTCTGGATCCATGTTTCTCATAACACAGTCTCCATGATTTTTAAAAATTCAATTTATTTTATTTTCAGTTCCTATTTCTCTCTCTCCCCCTCCCTTTCACACTCATTGAAAAGACAAGAAAAACAAAACCCATTACAATATGTATAGTCATGCAAAACAAATTCCCAAATTAGCCATGTGAAAAAAAGAAAAAGAAAGAGAAGAAAATATGGTTCAATCTGTGCTCTAAGTCCATGGAGGTAGATTATATGCTTCATCACGAGTTCTCTGGAATTGTGGTTGGTCATTATATAGTTACCAAGTCTTTCAGCAGGAGGAGGAGAAGGAGGAAGAGGAGAAGGAGAAAGAGGAGAGAAAATACTAGCATTGTTTCTGTTGTGTCCAGAAACTCTGAGGTCCTTCCCCTCCCAGACTGATTTTTTTGTGAAGGCAAATTAGGTCATCTTTGGCCTCCATTCTTACCTAACCTTTAATTACTGAATGAGTGTTGCTTCAGACAGACTGAGACCTGGGAAAGACCTAGCTTAAAAAGGCCCAGGTCTTCCACTGCATCCATGGCCATCGCCGGTTGACCTGACCTGCTACTGGACTCCAATTACTCTGGAGGAGAGAGTGAGGCTGATGATTTTGCACAGCTCTGCCTCAAATACAATTCACTTGTAAGTCAAGACACCACCCTCCTGATGTCATTGGTCCTCTTTGAGAAGGAAGAATGAACAACAGCAAACTCTTTCAAAGTAGATTATCTTTACAATGTTGCTATTATTGTATAAATGGTTCTCCTGGTTCTGCTCACTTCACTTTCCATCAGCTCATATAAGTTTTCCCAGGTTTTTCTGAACCCATCCCCCTCATCATGCCTTATAGCACACTAGTATTCCATCACAATAATAGACCACAACTTGCTCAACCATTCCCTGATTGATGGGCATCCCCTAGTATCCAATTCTTTACCACCACCAAAAGGGCTGCTAAAAATATTTTTATGTATATGGGAAATTTTCCCCTTTCTTTGACCTCTTTGGGGCATAGACCTAGTAGTGGTATATACTGCAAGCTCCTTTTAATCTTTATGTTCCTCCTTTCCCAAGCCTCCCAGCTTTGGAAGGAACAAAAAGCAGAAGTTCTTAACCTTTCTGTACCATTGACTCCTAATTTCCATAGGTAATTCCTAAATTACCATTGAAGCCTAAATTTCACTCTTCTCAGAATAATGTTTTTAAATGTATAAAATAAAATATGAAGGATTACAAAGGAGACA